ATTCCAAAGATTAATCCATTCAGTATGTCTTCGTTGAAGCATTGCTTTATCACCAGATATCTTTAATCCAAGAGATTTTAGTTCGGATCGAAGTTTAGATTCACTAAGAAGAGCATAATTAAGTTTGGGTAACCTAGAATACGTATGTGGTATTGTTTTCGGAGAAACTTCTCTATATAATAATTAATATCAATATAAAAGTAAAAAAGACTTTTTATATTTCTTACGTTTGTACACAAGTGTTACTTTTTTGATTTAAACACATATCAAGATGCACATGAATTTTATCATAATTAACCGATTGATAACATACTGGGCATTTAACAATTGTAGGAATTAAATCTGTATTTGATAGTTTAATTTCTGTACTAATATCCGAATTAGATAAAGGATTAGCCAATGCCATTAAGCCGGGTCTTTATACATTAAACGACGTAATTAAATTAAACCAAAAACAACCTGATTCGTTCAAAAATTTCAATCACCTCTTCAATTGACGTATTTCTACGCAATCTATTCTCTTGTTCTGGTTGGCGACATAATGGACATTGTTGTTTTTGAGATAAACAACGGCGAATACAAAGTGAACAAAATGTATGACAACATCCTGTAATTAATGGTGTTTGCATTAAATCTCTACAAATCCTGCAACGTAACACCTCTTCTAACACTGTCATTTCTGGAAGCCTACTTGAATTCCAATCATATGAGTCACTAATATTAATCATGGATTATGTATATTGAGATAATTTGGTTCAGATCACGTGAAAAACGATGGTCACGTGAAACTGTGATCACGTGATGATTATTAAATAAGTAGTTTAATTTTATAAAAATAGTGATTTTAATGGGAGTTATAAACAATTCTGAATCAGATTTCAAATTTTAGGGAGAACTCGCATTCTGAGATTTTATCTGGTTTTTTATCATTCGAACTATCTTCATTTTATACAGCTTTTTCTCTAATTTTTAAAATTTTAAATTATTATTATTGGAAATCTGTAGGGTTATTTATCATTCAGTGTTTGAATCGCCTTTGGCAAAAAGATAGATGCCTTCAGTGAGACTCGAACTCACGACCCCGGGATGGCTGTTGCTCTACCAACAATCATATTATGAGACCCGTGTCATAACCAACTAGACCATGAGGGCATTCGAGAGGGCCCCTTTTATGAAATATAAAACGTAATATTTTCTAAATTCATTTATTCTAATTTTAATATATTTATAGATGGACTCTTGGAAAGAAGTTTATCCATCTGTCGATCTATTCAATCTTATCTGTTCAATCTTATCTAATCAGTTTATAATTATCAAGGTGTATCGATAACGCTGTAGGGAGATAGATGCTCATGCATCCTTCATATACTTAGTATTCATGAGTGTTTATGACATATTTGTAAAGGATTTATACTTTAAAAACGCTTTATATTGTATTTCTATCATTTATTTTCAAGAGGGTTAGATCGACTTAACATATATAGAGGTGTACAGGGTCAGACGGGTTATATAAAAATATATAAACTGTGGTCAGGCTTTGAGACTATAGTTCATTAATGTGTTTTCTGTGATAATATGAGTTCAATTGATTTTTCAAGTCAAGCAACGGTTCCATTTCATGCAGAGACGGATGAAATACCAGGTCATTTACAGACTCAAAGACGTCGTCTTCAATCAACCGCCATTCCAAAGGTGACAGATATTACGGGTGAAAAAGTGCGTGAAAGTTTTGAAAGTTTTGTTGAAAAGTATACATTTTTAAAAAAAGGGGGAAATTGATGGTTCAATAGCTATATTGAATCAGATCCAGTTTCTGGCACAAGAAAAAAGTATTATTTAGAACAAATACATGGAATGAAGAGCTATGAAATAACTACACTTTATGTTGATTATATGCATCTTCTTGATTATGAAAATAGTGCTCTTGCAGAAGCACTTGTAGAACAATATTATCGGTATGTTTAAAAAAGGGTCTTGGAGGAATATTTTGGGTTAAATAAGCCGGAAATTTTTTATCTCTGCCTATTTTTTCAATTGTATGGATATACTTTGTTTTATAGATTTTCTATATACATCAAGTTTTTTAATTAGGCGAGATTTTTCACTTATTTTCTTGGTGCAGTACATGGTTTACTGTTTTGTCAATTTTGGGTACACTTTTATACAATTTCAAACATGGAATTTCATTTTATTTTTTCATTTGGCTGATATTTTATATTTAGATTTCTTCCTTTTTTGATTCGTGCTCTTCATAGGCTTGTAGAACGTTATGAGCCTAGTTATTATCGTTCATCTATTTCTCAAGCTGCAAATGTTTCAAAAATTTCGACTGATAAGACATTTCATATTGCATTTTATGGATTTCCATTGGTTTCAAAAATTAGAGATCTTAGGACAGATCGAATTGGCAAGCTTATTAGTATTTCTGGGACGGTTACTCGTACAAGTGAAGTTAGGCCTGAATTGAGTCGTGCAACTTTTGTTTGTGAAGCATGCAGAGCAGTAGTAACAAATGTAGAGCAAATTTTTCGATATACAGAGGTAATCAATGAAAAGGAAATCAAGGTTTTAATCAAACAAATATAGCCATCTCAATGTCCCAATGAAATATGTCAAAATCAAAAACATTGGCGATTGAATATTGCTCAGTCTACTTTTGTCGACTGGCAAAAAGTTAGAATTCAAGAAAATAGTTCAGAAATACCAGCTGGAAGTATGCCTCGAACGTAAGTGTTAAAAAAAGGAATGTTCTTATCAATTGAGTTTTTCAATAGTTTAGATGTCATTTTGCGTGGTGAAATTGTTGAACGTGTTAAAGCAGGTGATAAGAGCGTTTTTACCGGATCATTGATTGTCATTCCCGATATATCTCAGCTTGGTCTTCCTGGAGTACGTCCAGAAGCAATGAGAGATACTCGAGGATCCGGCAGAACTCGAGATGGATTTGCCATTGAAGGTGTAACAGGACTTAAAACATTAGGTGTAAGGGACTTAACCTATCGACTTGCTTTTCTTGCTTGTATGGCACAGTCAACTAGCAAGAGAGATCTTTCAATTCCAGATATTCGTGGAGAATCTCAGGAGAAGGAACAAGATATTTTTTTGAATTCTCTTTCACAAAATGAGATTGATGAACTCAAAAGAATGGTTCATACAGATCGTATTTATTCCAAACTTGTTAAGAGCATTGCTCCTACCATCTATGGTCATGAAATTATTAAAAAAGGCATTCTCTTGCAGCTTATGGGTGGCGTACATAAAATTACACCAGAAGGTATAAATTTAAGAGGAGATATCAATATATGTATTGTTGGTGACCCGTCTACATCAAAGTCTCAATTTCTAAAGTAATTTTCCTGTAAAAATTAAGAATATCCTAACCCAATACTAGATATGTATGTGGATTTCTTCCTCGTACTGTTTATACTTCTGGAAAAGCATCTTCTGCTGCAGGTTTAACAGCTGCCGTTGTTAGAGATGAAGAAACAGGAGAATTTACAATAGAAGCAGGCGCTCTAATGCTTGCTGATGATGGAATATGTGCAATTGATGAGTTTGATAAGATGGATATTTCAGATCAAGTTGCTATTCATGAAGCTATGGAGCAACAAACGATTTCTATTGCCAAGGCAGGAATTCATGTTACTTTGAATGCACGAACATCTATTCTAGCAGCTGCCAATCCTGTAGGAGGACGTTATAATCGTAAAGCAACTCTTCGGGCGAATATTCAAATGTCTCCACCGATTATGTCAAGATTTGATCTTTTTTTTGTTGTTCTTGATGAATATAATGAAGCGGTAGATACCAATCTGGCACGACATATTGTAGATATACATAGGTTGCGAGATAATGCTGTTAAATCTGAATTTTCTACTGAGCAATTGCAAAGATATATTCGTTATGCACGAACATTTAAGCCGAAATTAACTCCAGAGGCTCAAGCTGAATTAATCAAGAGATATAAAGAACTTAGAATAGATGATGCACAAGGAATGGGCAGAAATTCATATCGAATTACAGTACGTCAATTGGAAAGTTTGATAAGACTCAGTGAAGCGATTGCAAGAGCAAATTGTGTAGAAGATATTACGCCAAAATTCGTTGCAGAAGCATATAATCTTTTGCGTCAAAGTATAATTTATATTGAAAGGGATGATATAGGATTAGATGATGATATAAAAGAATCAGAAGTAGGCGACACAGAAATGCAAGATATAAACCCAATTAAGAAGGAAAAGACAAAAATAACTTATGATAAATATATATCTATTTTAAATATGATTATTAAACGATTAAAAGAAGAAGAACAAAATGTGGAGGGCATAGAAGAAGAAGACTTGGTTCAATGGTATTTAGAACAAAAGGAAAATGAAATTTCAACTGAAGATGCTTTAATAGCGGAAGAAAGTTTAGTAAAAAAGGTTTTGAAGAAACTTGTTAAAGTATAGATAAATTCTCATTTTTTTAAATAATTAAAAATAAATATAGGATCATTATATTATGGAGCTGTATGAAGAAGGGATGGAAAGAGAAGCTGGAAAACCAATTAAAAAGGTTTATGTGATTCATCCGAATGCTGAAGTGGATTTTCTGGATTCATTTACATCTACCTCTTAATATTACATTATAAGCTGGTATCACTGATTTTTATTTTTGTAATTTCTTTATAAACTATATCTCAAATAAAAGTATTGCTATTAAAAAGGGATCCTTTTCATGCTTTTAATGGGGGTTTAACTATTGAAATCCAAAAAAATCATAAAACATTCGATAACCCTATCATAAAAGAATTGTTAAAGTCTTTAATACTCAGTATTCTCGGTTACTTGTTAAACCCTTCAATAAATCCTAAAGTATCTTCTTTATTTTTACAGGTTTTTTTAATTCTAGAATAACTGATAATTATGAAATCTTTAACCCGGGCTAAAAAGAGCAAGGAAGACTAACTGTGAACCAAGTTAGAACCACCTTGATGTTCCACTATGAAAGACAGAACTTTCCGGACCGGGGAATCGAACCCCGGGCTTGTCGGTGAAAGCGACAGATGTTAACCACTACACCAGTCCGGACTCTAAACAGTGTAGTTCTATACCATTTATTAATGAATAACCCGTCTATAAATTTCTAGTAAATGAAATATTAACTGACATTGTGCTTGTTTATGTAATTATTTCCAAAGATAAATGTAAAAATTGTTTATATTCTTTAATAAAATGTAAATACTTGTGAATGATCTGGAAATGATAGATATTGCACAGAAATAATTATTTTGTATACATATTGTACTGTGTTATTAATTAGAAAGAGCTGCTGTAGGAAATAGTTCTTCTCTAAGATGCGGTAAAAAGCGATTGATACGATTCCATGTTTCCTTCCATAGTGTACAATGAAATTGATTGTCACTATGATGTATATTCTCTGAAAATTCTGCATTTGAGTCTGGTGGTGGCACCAGATAGCCCGATGTATTCATCACTAATAAAACATTTTTAAGAGATTCAAGGACAGCCTCTGTCTATGTAATATTAATAAATTAAATATAAATATGTATATATATAGGATTACCAAATGGTCTGGTTGACCACTATTGATTAGTCTGTCTATAATGTCTAATAAGTTAATCCATAGATCAAGCATTCCATCATATTTAGACAATTTTACTAAATAATGAAGATAAACTTTGCACAAAAGAGTTACTGCTTGTATTCGTGCCTGAGCCATTCCTTGAAGATCAAGTTGATATATTTCAGGTTTCAAAAGACGAAATATTAATGGAAATAAAATCTCCTTGAATACAAGAATCCATTGTAAGTTTTCATCATTAGAAAATTGAGAGGAGAAAAGTGATTTTTGAAGACATGTAAACGCCTCTTGCCTCACTTCATAAAAGATATTGGTACATTGCTCTTGAAATATATTAAAAATAGGTGCCCAAAATATTTCCCAGACTAAATAGATCAATATATTTAATAAATCCTTAAGAAATAACCTTCTTTAAAGTCCAATTCAGTATTAAGAAATAATGATAACGCTTTTAAATGAAGTTGATATAAAATATTAATTGATTGAGTTGAATAGTCAATAAAATGAACTAATCTAGAACAAATTAATATGATTAAAAATAAATTCTTTTATACATTTGAGATTCTTCAGAAATTAGTGATCTAATTCTCTCAAGATCATGCTTTTTATTAATTGATGTGTAGCTTATTATCTGATTTAATAGAAAAATAATTGATTGAAAACTTTCTTTTGAAAGCTTCTGTGATGACAAATGCTGAACAATTTGAAAAGTAATAGGAATAGCCGCTTCGTTCTTTTGAATTAATGAAAGAAGCTTAAATAAATCACCAGAGCTGATATATTCTTGATTTTTTGACAATTTGATAATTTCTAGAATTCCATTAGAAATACTAAGTCCATATTTAATGATAAAAGTATCATTTAGTGATGATAATGAATGAAATACTGGAGAAATCTTTAATTGATTGAGACCTTTATCAATATCCTCTTTAACTATACGTAATAAATAGATAATGAACCTTTCTCTTATTATATCATGAATCTTTTCTGAACTATTGATAAAATTTAAGAGATATCGAGTTACTAATTGAGAAAATTCCTTTAAAGAAGACGTATCACGCAGAACAAAACATGTAGCTATTTCCATCCTTAATAAAATGATTTCATTGTACTTTAAATAATTGTCATTATTTGATGAATTACTCTTTAAACTATCTTGGGATGAATTCCTTAAATTTAACATCATAAATAAATCATGAGAGAATGGTTGCAGCAAAAAATCCATTAATTGTTTTGTAATATCTAAATCAAGTGACCTAATATTATTAGATAGTTTTCCTTAAAAAATATAAAAACATCATATTCTTATATAAAGACTCTATATGGCATGATCTAATGCACTCAGCTGTAGATATTGCGGACTCAATTTCAGTTTCTGATGCAATAAACCCATCGTTAGTTCCATATCCTGAAAGGTATGATGACAATGCTGATAATAATCCAACAGATCGGTTCTCATCTATTTTCTTGCCCTTTTTTACCTTGGATGTAATAGAAATAGGTGGAATTGAAATATAATTTTCTATCTGAGTAAAAGATGGAGAAAGTAAATGATTAATGAAAAATATAAAAAGAAGTTTGAATATCTTTAGCAATTAATAAGTAAAAATTCCATGGTAGAAATACCTCTTTCCATCCTTCTAGAATTAATGATTCATTTCCATTAGATATTCTAAATAAAACAATAGCTGCAAGCTTTGCCTTAAAGTTTTCTCCAAATTTAATTGAAAAAGGATTTACATAAATATCATTGCCATCAATATTTATTAGTAAACTAGTAGAAATGTTCTTCAATTCATTATCATCAATAGGCATCACTTTTAAAAGACATGATATTATGTAATCAATCACTTCACTCATTTTATATTGTGATGCAATTTTTGAGCAATGACTAAACCCATTGACAATATAATAAAGAACATTATCATCTGTTGAAGAAATAAAAGCATAGGTAAATGAGCTAATAATAGGCTTCCATGTAATTTCGAAAATATATTGATCATAGATATTGGTATTATATATTTGAAATCCCTTATTAACACATAATTTTGTAAGATTTCTCCACGTATACTCAAATCCTAATTGACTATTATGTTCATCAGGAACAATTATTTCATTAGAACGTATAGCTTCATAAATTGCTTTCTATATTTTTTAGCAAATAATAATAATAATAATAATAATTACCAAATACTCCGTATTAAAGTCCTTGTTGTTGTTGAGATTTCTTAAATTCTTTGTGTATTCCTCAATTGTCATTCGTTTCTGAAATAGAATATTCAATATAGATAATAAATATATAAATTAAATTTACCTTAACCTGAGTATTATGTAGATCAACATTTAGCATTGCAATTGAATATGCTAAGACAAAAGCTGCGTCTGCTGTTTCTATTTCAACTATATTTTTGATTAAAAATATTAATAATAAAACTTCATTACCCGGATTAGTTTCATAATATTTATTTGAAAACTTTTCCAATATTCGTTCTATCTGTTGCGATTCTCCAGGTAATCTAAAGAATGACAAAACCTCACGAAGAGCTTCTTCAATACGTTTCTACACATCCATATTAAATAAATAATATTAATGAATTGCAATTTATCTACCCCTCTAAAATCAAATGTATTAATAAAACAGTCTAAAACCTGAGAATTCTCTAATTTTGAAAGATATATTCCTAGTAATTTTTTATTGACATAACTTGTATTTTTTAAAAATGAAGCAATTGATTCAAAGCTAGCATTCTTGTCTAAAATTCCATTATTTTGTAGATATTTTATCCCTTCTCTTGGCTTTTCATTAAATTTTATAGATCCTTGGATGATTGTTGCTTTTTTATTCTTCTTCTCCAAAAGAGTTTCTAGAGATGGAAACTTATGAATTAAAGATTCCTTATTCTAATAGATTTTAAAATATATAAATTAGAAATTGTAGCCTACTTCCATATTTAATCTTCCATGTATATATTCTACAAGTATTAATATTGCCTGTAAAGATAATAATGGTATCTTTGTTTTTGACCAAACAATTGAATCAGAAAATATATTCTAAATAGATTAAGTACTTTGAAACCTTAAATAGAACTTACACGAATAAAAAAATAAATAAGATCCTCACATAAGTTGCACATATTAATTTCGCAATCATAGTTTACAAACAAATCATTAATAAAGCTGGGTATTCGAACTAAATCAAAAATGCATTCCATTATAATCTCCTGTATATTTACTTCTCTTGATTCTTCATTCCCTAGTTTTCTTTGCTCTTTTGTTGAAATAGAAATGTCCTTTCCGGATATGAAATGCCTATGTTTTGGTGCATCCAACATTTCTTGATATAATACATGGCCAATTGATGGATATTTAATATCATTGTGATTAGAAAAACAGGTTATGGCATATTTAAGGAAAACTTCTTGTTGAAATTTAAGAAAAGGCCTCATCATATGTAAAAGTAATGAAATTATTTGAAAAGAATGAAATATAATAGAAATATTGTCTGACTGAATAAGTTGGAATAAATATCTGCACAAATCATCTGTGATTAAACGACATAAATATGGATGATCTTGTATCACTGGTCCTGAAACTTCAATAGCAGTATTAATCATTCGCAATGCTATAATACGTACTGAATCCGTATGTTGTTTATTATGTGGTTCTAGTAGTAATATTAAAGTATAAAAGACTTTTTTTATTGATGCAATTCCATAAGGAACAATCTCTAAATAAAAATGAACAAAAATACTAAACTTGGATGGACAGCTTAACCTTCTTCATCAATCTCTTCTCCATTTTCTATGTCATCATTTTTTTTTTCCAAAAAATAGTCATTTTTATAATTAGTCTTTTCTGATGATAAAGCTTCAGAATATTCATTATTAGATAGACATTTTTGATCTTTTTGCAAGCGCTCTTCATCATTGACTATTGCAATTGATGATTCTTCATTTTTTAATGATATTTCTTTTAGTCTATAAGTATATTTAGGAAAAAAAATAAAAAAAATAGACCAACCTCCCAAAAATTGTTTGGATCACAGACAGCATTGTCATTTCGACGCTTTTTCTAAGAACTTTACTTAAACGCAGCCGACAAGAAACGTTTAAACATATCTCAATTATTTCAGGAATAATTAAATCACAAATAAATCTTCCAATGACACTTGTTGCTATTTGCTCAATTAATCTAAAGATCTTAAGTAGCAGGGTTTCGTCGTGCAACAAATCAAGTGTCTCTGAGATGTATTTTATAAGAGCAGATATAAGCCGTCTGATTGCCAACAAAAGACCCGAAGAATTTTCATTGATAACGCCGTAGGAAATGAACTTCATGATAGAGCTGAGTGCGAGAGACTTGATTGAAGCCTCAATCGATGGATTCTCGATCGTATATATAAATGGATCCAAAAGCAATAATGTATCCATTGACGATAGATCTAGTTTTACATGATCAATTGAATGCCCCCTCCATTGCTCAAGAC